TAGGCTTCCCCCCTTTCAGGGTGCCACCTGATATACTGGGGTCCCACTGAGCCTGCCCATTCCACCAGCCTGGGCTCCCTCACCCTGTCCTGCTGATCCAGCCCTCAAGCCTCCTCTAGCACACACACAGGTAAGGACACGCCCAGCTGCAGAAAGACACAGACACTGAGATCAGCTCTGCGTGGGAAGAATCAGCTTGGGGATTGCCCAGCACCCATGTGCACACCCCCTCTGGAGTGTAAACCCAAAATTATATTGTCTTGCACTGCACAGAGATCTGTACAGCATAAGCTCATGAAAATCGCCCCTCTCCCCCAATGTGGAGGAAGACATGCACAGCTTTTTGCTCCCCTCTCCCCCCATTATGAATTGCACAAATTGGGTTTCAGAAAACAAAACAAGTTTATTAACTACAAAGGATAGATTTTAAGTGATTATAAGGGCTAGCAAACAAATCAAAGAAGATTACTGAGCAAATAAAGCAAACACACAAACTAAGCTTACTACACTAAGGGAGAGAGGGAGGGATAGCTCAGTGGTTTGAGCATTGGCTTGCTAAATCTAGGGTTGTGAGTTCAATCCTTGATGAGGCCATTTAGGGATCTAGAGCAAAAATCAGTCTGGGGATTAGTTCTGCTTTGAGCAAAGGGTTGGACTAGATGAGCTCCTAAGGTCTCTTCTAACCCTGATATTCTATGAAACTGGCTACCAGTAATAATTTCTCACCCTAAATGCTATTTTAAGCAGATTGCAGGGATTCTTGAAGACAAACTTCTTTTGTTTGCATCTTAGAACTCCAGATATTCCTTTCACAGGCCAGACACCTTCTAGCCTGGGTCCAGTTCTTCCTCAGTTCAGTCTTAGGTGTTTTTAGCAGTCATCTTGGGTGGGGATTCAGTGAAGAACTGACACTGATTAACTCAATTCCCAGCCTTAAATAGGATTTATATATGGTGGGAATCCTTTGCTTCCCAGTTTGATCCCCAACCCCTACTAGTGGAAAAATACCAGCAGTTTAAGATGGTGTCCAGTAGCAGGTGACATGATCACATGACCCTGCAGTGTCAAAGCAGCAGCCCAGAAAGTTTCTCAGGGTGGTGGGAAATTCAAAGTCCTATTGTTTCCCTAATGGTTTATTGACTAACCAGCCAGACTGATTGCATTTTGTCTGGTGGGCATTCCCCAGATGCAAACACTTTTGCAATTGATACATAGTCAATATTCCTAACTTCAGATACAGAAATGATACATGCACGCAAATAGGATAATCACTTTCAGTAAATCATAACCGTCCCAATAATATCGCACATGATCCATCTTGCATAAAACATATCTTAGTTATGCCATATTAATCTAATAACAATATCTGTAAGAAGAATATGAGGTGTAGTGTCACACATGGGTTAGAGTGTGATCCAAAACCCCTGTATGGAAAGGCTGCTGCAGGCCCCCATATCCCCGCACCAGCAGTCATAGGTGAGTTATCACAGCCCTGCAGCCGCCAGTGATTGTACCCTTTTTTGATGCATTTAATAGAGATGTTTCAAGACTCCTTTGAATGGCCTGCATTCCACCCGCTCCCATCCCCTCCCGCAGAAGCTTGTCTGCTTTACGGCCTGCAAACAACAGAGCCTAGTGTCCAGGCATGTGTGGGACATGCTCACAGCTCATTTTACATGCACTGCAAACCCTTTGGACCCAGAGGAGGTATCTGAGGCAAAGGTATTGTGCTCCTCTCCACCCTGTCCCACTGATACCTGGCAAGCAGCCTGCCATAGCATACAGGAAACCATCTCCCTATGCTCAGCTGTCCCTCCCTGGGCTGACCAGGCTTGTGTATGGTGGGAAGTCACTGCAGTGGTTGGCTGAGTTAGTTTCACTTGGCTACTGACTGCTGGGCCTCAAGGGGAAGTCCCATAGACAGGCAAGAGGCCACACATTGACTTCCCATTCATACTGCTTTGCTTTCAGGGACTGCTGGAGGTTTCATTCCCATGACTTCATCTGCAAGGTCCTTCCCTCTGACGGGGAGCGAGAGTGAACAGCTTGGCTACATCAGTCTGCTGGGAGCTGTGGGCCAAGACAGTGACACGAGAGCTCAAGAATGAGGATTAGATTTCACTGGAGCGTGAAGGAGAGGAAGGGGAAGAGTCCAGTTTTCTTCACTCCCCTCCCCCGGTGCCCTTTACGTTTCCACACATCCGTCCCAGCTGAGCCTCCTCAAAGGTGCCCAACAACACAGCCCTTAATGTTTAAACTAACTGATTGATTTATGAGGCAGGGAGAATTAAAAAATTGAGTGCAGGTCTCTATCTATGCAGGGTCTGCTTTCAGAATGACCTTTGACCACTATGACACTGCAGAATGCCACTCCAGTGGTCAGACTGGACTATTCTCATACACCAAGCATGGGTAATAATATCACCATCTCAGCACCGTGCTGCAATCAGAGCAGGCAAGTGCTCTACAGCCCTGCCATACCAGGCTATGGCACAGCACAGAGATATCATTACATGTGGATTTGCTGGAAGACTAAACCAATTAGATCTGGCCCTCTGGCAGCCCCTATGACATCATTAATATTGCTCACTGTTTAGGAAAATAACTTGGTCCACATGGCAACAAGCCCAAGTCACCTCCATGAGCCTGCTGAACAGGACTCCAGCAAGAGTGTCATCCTGTTGGAAGGTTTTAATGATGTCACAGGTGCTATTACCAGACCATGTCAGCTGGCTCATTCCACCTTGTTGCTCCAGGGTGACCAAGTACCTGACCCTAATGAAGAGGGGTTTGTAGGTCTAGAGATGGCTCCGCTTCTACCCTACGGCACATGGAATTACTCTGCTTGCCAAGCCCTCCCTGTTTATTGAGCTACCACTGTAAGGAGCTCTCACTAACATTCAGCATGTAGGAAACCTAGCTAGTCTCTTGGGAACACCCTACTCTTAGTGTGCCAGGACCATGTCGTGGAGAGTCACACTTGCAAGCTATATTCACACACTGAACCTATCCTAAAATAGTGGGAGCCATGCACAGTGCTCAATACAGCTGCTAAGTGTGAGTGAGAGCCACCCACTGATACCATAGGATTCCACAAGCACTGAGTGCAGGGAGAGAGATGTGCGCTCTGGATGGCCATAGTCTGTGTGTGCAGCCCAAGTCGCCCAAGAATGCAGAGGCTGAAGACAATAACTTCTGAGAGTGAGAGAAACAGCTCACTGATGTCAAGGAAGATTCCTATCAACATCCATGGGATTTGGCTCAGTCCCATAGGGTGCAGCAAGCCAAGAGGACTGAGAAGAGCATAGGACATAAGCAAGGGTGTAGGGAGGACAAAGAACTTGAACTTAGTGTGATAAGAGCCAAGGGGGCAGGGAAGGGAGTCAGGGTAACTGGGGAAAAGATGAGTGTAGCTGCAGTATTTTTGACAGCATGGAGAGAGAAGAGGGTGGCTGGAAAAGAGGTTACAGTAATCATGGCAGGAGATGGCCAAGGGTTGGCCAAGGTTTATAGCGGCAAGGGCAGTGAGGACAGGGCACGCTTTGAGCTGATATGGAGCACAGCTGAACAAAGACATTGGTGGGTTGTGATTTCTATGCATTGTTGTCTATTTATCATTGGTTGTTATTTATTCCAACACGTTTGGGCTCCAGGTTGTTCATGCACTATTTGACAAGGCACTGTTTGTAGAGTATGGTGAGTTACTGTCACAGCGTGGCTGGCCCCATTAAATGAAGCAGGTCCAGTGCCTCTGTGCCAGGACAGGTGCCCCAGTTTGGTGAATTAAGAGGGTGGAGTGGCACCTTCTTAATTTCTATAAAGGATCAGGGACAAACAGAGGGAGAAGGTCCCTGAAGGAAGCTGTTGGTTTCTGGGGGCAAGGCTGAAGAGCAGCAGAGGGGATTGCTAGCTGAGCTCCCCGAGCCAGGGTAGGAGGGCTAAAGACAGGAGGAGCAATGGAGGGATTTATCTGGTAATGTCTTCATGCTGGAGAGCTAGGAAAGGATACTGGAACAGGGGGATTGATGGCAGCTCCCGTGGTGAAGAGGCACTCCCAGTTGAGAGGCTGGGGAGGGCAGGTTCCTATGGGAAGAGTGGGCTGGCAGCAGGACAGGAGAAGGTCAGAAATGTGCCTCGGTGTGGTGGCAGATGCCGGAGTGTGGTATGTGCTACATTAGTGACCTAGATCTTGTGAGATTTTAAGGCCTACATGCACTGGGGGTGAGCCTGGACTGATTGGGGCCTTTGGTTGTTGATTATTTATTTTTGTAACAATCTGGCCTCAAGGAGGTATTATTAAGGGAAGAGAGCCTGTTGTACCAGCCTTAGGGGCCCAAGAGGGGATGTGGGATTTAATCCTGGTGTTAGGCCTCCAGTCGCAAGGGGGTGCTCAGGGATAAGGGGGGGACTCATGCACAGTCACATCAGTCATATGCAGTGGCGGATTAGCCACTGGGCCAACGGGGCCCATGCCCAGGGGCCCCAGCCAATTGGGGGGCCCTGGAAAAATGGGCACCCCACCGCATCCTGACCAGTTCCACCTGCCCAGTGCTCCTGCCAGGGAGTGGGGGAAGCCCCAATGCCCCAACCTCATTTCCCTGGCAGGAGCACTGGGGAGAAGGGTGGGGGAGACTGCAGGCGGAAGGGGTGGGGAGGGGCCCCCATTTGCTCTGGCCCAGGGCCTCACAAAGCGGAAATCTGCCTCTGGTCACATGATATGGTTTCTGCTCCATGATTGGGACAACAAAAAGCTTTGGGGTTCCCCAAGATGACTCAGGAGAAATCCTGGTTCCATTGACTTCAGTGGGGCTGGGGTCCCACTCTCTGTCTCTTTAGAGGCTCCACTCTCTTGCTTCAAGCTAAGCACGTGTTTATGTGCTTTGCTGGATTGGGGACAGAGTGCTCAGCACCTGGCAAGACTGAGACCCAAATGCGCTCATGCGTGGGATGAGCTCCCTGCTCCACAGCCACTGGCCAGCCCTGGCAATTGGGCCCAGTATTTTTGGTGTATATTTGATAAAATCCTGCTCTTCCCTGTGTGCTCCTGGGGGACCCGAGCCAGTTTTAACCCAAAGCCCATGTGGGTAGGGGAGACTACTGACTTTGGGGTTGGCACTAGACACTTCCATTCCCTAGGCAGGACTGACCCGATTCTAGGATGGCCAGAGCAATGTTGTCATAGCAGCTCCAAGCCCTAGCCACTGTGGCTGCCCGGTCAGGAGAGGGGACTCCCTTAAAGATTAAAGCCCTAGTGTGTCCCAGCTGATGCAGGAAACTGAGCAAGTTAGAACCCCTCCTATGAGTTCAGCACCCACCAATGAGGCATATCCCTAGGTGCTCATGGTAACTGGAGACCAGATTTTCCTTTGCTAATGAGTGGAGCAGTACATGCCCACCTCAGACATGCCCATCCTATCCATAGCTAGCGAGGCACTGGCATCTGGATGCTCAGGATGGCCCATGGAAGGGTCTGAGGAGCTCAAGGGGGAAGTGATGCAGCTCCTCCAGTTAGTAAGTGGTGCAGTCAGCTGTCCCAAGCAGGAATACCCTATGGTCCTGCTGAAGCTTTGCTGAAGAATCACTTGCATAAAGCATGCAGAGCCCTGGATGGGGTTAGTTCTTCGCTGGGCAAATAGGGGCCATTGCCTCTCAGGATGAGCTGGTAGCTCCAGCCACTGCAGCCACAGCCAGACAGGCAGTGCGGGTCACTCAGATCACCGTGGGCTGAAAGGAGTCTAGAGGCTGCTGGCTGGGGATTTGCTTCAGTCCTCTCGCCTGTGGCCCTCTCCGTGAAAATTGCCTTGTACTTAGTGTGACTGGAGCTTCTGTGCACCTGTCCCTGGGTTCCCAGCTGCCAGTCTCTAGCTCATGGAGCCAGAGGTTGGAAATGGTTGCACCTAACACTTGAAGCCAGGAGGGGGCTCTCTGGCTCCCTGGAGTGCGTGCGTGAGGCAGTGCCTATGAGGCGGGGAATTCAAGCTCATTAAAAGGAGTGAATGTAAGCAAGAATATCAGACCGAGACAGCCAAGGTCTGCTGCGCCAGGAGCAGTGCCCAGAGAAACCCAGGGAGAGAGAGGGCAGTGCACCAGTCATGGGTGTCTCTCATGAGCCACAGATCCCAGCCAGGGCCAGGCTGGAGTGAGAGCCACCAGCAGAGAAACTGGGCATTCTCCTGGCCCCTCCAGCTGTGAAGGGAAGGAGCACATGAGAGCTGCTGGGAAGAGACTGTATTTACAGCTCCAAAGGCAGCCCAAGAAAGGAGGCAAGCAAGGGAGATAGCCCTCTCCCAGCTGGACTCAGCCCCAGCTGGTGGGTTTTTAAGCCCATGCCCAGCCTCTTGGTCCGAGCTCTCACGAGCGGATTGGAGCAGGGAGTACTCTGAAGTACAGGGACATTTCTCTAAGGGATCCTTGAACCTACACAATGTGCTTTCCCCCCACAAAGTAGGACGCATTGCCCTCTCCTCGGGCCAGGTGGCTCAGCTGTCGAGTACCAGCCGGCTATTCTGCAAGGGCAACCCATCTCCTGAGCTGGTGCTGATGGGAGGACAGGCCTGACATTGCTGGAGTATCATCTCTTCCCCCAAACACGCCACTCCTAACAGGACACAGTCAGATTTCTTCTTGCTCTTACGGACAATGCCTGCCTCTGGGTGGCCATAGAAACTTTGGCTCCTGGAGAGAAAGGACCACCTCTTTGGTGCCGTGTTGAAGGATGGCTGGATCCCTCCCTGCCAGCCACTGGCTCCTATTACTGTGTGTGGGATTCCTGGCAGTGGCCTCATGTGTTGGCTCAGTGGGGTCGGAGAAACTTGGAAGCAGAAGAAGCCGAGAGAAGAAATCCCAGTGGAATGAGTATCCCACAGGCCAGGGAAGAAGCAGCATGCCTCTGCCAGCCTCTAACGACCCGGTAAGCACTTATTCTACCAGCATCTAGTTGTAGGGAATTGAGCACAGATCTAAACTCAGAGCAACCAAACCAGGAAAGTGGGTGATGCGCAGAGAGTGTAATTTCTGAGCTGAGTGAATGTGATTGCAAGTAAAATCTACTCAGGGAATTTGAGTTGTGTGATGACTTTTTTTATTTTATTTTTTACTACACACACACACAGAGTGGGTAGCTGGGGTGAGGGGTAGGGATGGTTTTGTACTTTTGTACTTTTTCACCTTTGGGTGACTACGCTTGTTTATTGTCAATGAGCAACTGACTTTTGCAATGAGAAAGAATCTAGCACACTGAGGGGACCAAACCAAACGCTGTGAAAGCAAGCCTACTGGCTCATAAAACGTTAGCAAGTGCCCCAAATCTTTTCCAGTTTTGTCATAAATATTTTGAAGAGCAAACATTTTCTCAGCTCTGTTGGAAACATACAATCACTGAGTTTGTCTTGCAGCTTATAGGTTACAGCTGATCAACTGTGTCACATAAAAACTGCAGTGGGATTGACCTGTGGTCCACCTGATGAGGAACCTGTCTCCAAGTACAGATACTCCAGAGGCAGGGGCAAGAATCCTCATAATGGACAATTATGGAGAGACAGTTTCTTCCTTTCCCCAAGCAGTGACAGCTTATATCTTGAAACATTAGGTTTCAGAGCCCTTCTAAAATTTTGCAGGTTATCTAATGTCACCGTTGATGTCGTTCTGATTAACTGTACAACCATCTAATCCTTTGTTCAATTCAGCTAAGCTTTTGGCCTCACTAATACCTTGTGGCAATGAGTTCCATAGATAAATTGTGCAGTATACAAAAAAAATCCTTTGATCTTTTTTTAAATTGGTAGCCTTTCACTCGCACTGACTGTCCCTTTATTCTTATGTTACAAGAAGGTAATTGTGAGTTCCTGGTTGACCATATCTGTGCTACTTTAAAAACAAATCCAAATGCAGGGGTGATGTGCAAAGGTGACTGTGTAAGTAGGCTTGTGGGAGGTTAAGATAATATAATTTAACCTGAGGGGCCAGGAGAAGGTGTAAATTATCCCAGTTTAGACTCTAGTCCACTACCACCAAATTTGCCTCAATAATTTGCTCACCCACATTCCCACATGAGTGCAGACAAGCTCCGAAGGATAAAACTGAATTGCTCTAAGAGGAGCCCTAAACTCTAGCCCTCACATATTCTGTCCTTCTGGAGTAGCTGACGGACCAGAAGGCTCAGTCCTTACATGCCCAGAAATCCCTTCCACTTATCTGCTCAAGCAGTTATTAAAGGTGCTATTGCAGGGTTACAATGCATCCGAAGAAGTGGGCTGTAGTCCACGAAAGCTTATGCTCTAATAAATTTGTTAGTCTCTAAGGTGCCACAAGTATTCCTGTTCTTCTTATTGCAGGATTAAACTCTCTCCCAGATGAGAGTGCTGCTCAGGAGAATGAATTTCCCACCCTCATTCCTCTGCTCTCAGATCAGGGGAAAGACAGAAGCTGTGTCCAATAGTTTGTGAATGGGTGGAAAACATATGGCTAGTGATGCCAGCTGTTACTGTTTGACAGGGGTATTCTTTTATATCCCACCCGACCCCCGGGGGGCCTTCTTTGGCATCATTCCAACAATATGCACTGCAATGGGCTAGGGAGATTCGTAAATACCTTAAGTTGGGTGAGCTGCATAGCTGGGGAAGCCCAGCTAGGGCAGCTTTGCAAATCAGTCAGCACAGAAACACATTAGCTGCTTAAAAAATGTGTGGACCTTGGGGCTCTGCCAGCAGGTCCTGCTAAGAGAGGCCGGGAGAGTCCAAAGTGCTGCACCATCAATCTGGAAAGTGCCCCAGCTCACTGTGGATGTAAAGGCAGGCAAAAAGGGGGCCAGCTGTGAGGCTAGCCATACCGATGACTTGGGATCTTCAGGCTATTCGAAATTAGCAGCAGCAGTGCACAGAGCACTTGTTTAAAACACTGGGAACACAATACACTGGAGTCACCGCAGTGGTGTTTTGTAATGCCGCTCCAGGAGTGCACATTAAAAATTCAGCTTCCATGATCATTCAGGCCTGTTCTTACCCAAAATTAACTTGCAGCAAATCTCAGTGCGGGCCTGTTGGGTATGTAAGCTTGGAAGGATTAGGATTTTATTGGCAAATGTCAATAAATGTTGATTTTTGCCATACACGCACAAACCAACAAAAAAGTATTTCCATTGATGATCATTGACATTTACAGATAGGCAAAGTAAGAAAAATGCTACTTGAGAAATTATTTTAGTTTTGATTTAAGGATATTCACATTGTATTGTTTGCCATGGGATGTTAACAATTTGTCTTTTTAACAGTTATAAAGCTTTAACTTTTGGAATCACAATGTCTGCTGGCATTAGCAGACACCCCTGCCACAATTTTCTGCAAATGTGGACATTTAAATTGATAAAACTCTAAACAAATGGTTAAAAATAAACATTGATATTATCCCTCAAAATTATAAACTGAGTTCTGCCCAGCTTAATTTTACACTTGGGCAATCAGCCTTTGTTACATCTTTTTTCTAGAGCTCTTCTGCTTCTCACTCACCAATTTGTAACCCTAGAGGGTTATAAGAAATAGGCAGGATGGATTTGTCAAGAACAAATCATGCCAAACCAACCTAATTTCTTTCTTTGACAGGTTTAGTGGATAGAGGGGAAGCTGTAGACATGATATGTCTTGATTTGTAGTAAGGCTTTTGACACAGTGCCACATGGCATGAGCAAACTACGGAAATGCTGTCTAGATTACCATAAAATGGGTGAACAACTGGTTAAAAGATCTCAATCAAAGAGTAGTTATCAACGGTTCACCGTCACCCTGGGAGGGCATATCTAGTGGGGTGCTGCAGGGCTCTGTCCTGAGTCTGGTACTAGTTAATATTTTAATGGATGACTTGGATAATGGAGTGGAGAGTGTGCTTATAAAATGTATGGGGGACACTAAAATGGCACTTTGGAGGACAGAATTAGAATTGAACATGACCTTGACAAATTGGAGAATTGGTCTGAAATCAACAAGATGAAATTCATTAATGACAAGTGCACATTACAACACTTAGGAAGAAAAAAAAATCAAATGCACAACTACAAAATGGGTTATAACTGGCTAGGTGGTAGTACTGCAAAAAGGGTTATACTGGATCACAAATTGAATATGAGTTGACCAGTTGGGAAAAATGCTAATATCAGTCTGAGATTATATAAGCATGAGTGTCATGTAAGACATTGGATGTAACTGTCCCATTCTATATGGCACTGGTGAGACCTCAGATGGAGTAGAGAGTCCAGTTCTGGGCACTACACTTTAGGAAAAATTAGGACAAACTGGACAAATTTAGACTAACCTGACCTATGAGGAAAAGCTTTAAAAAACTAGGCATGTTTAGTCATGAGAAAAGAAGACTGAGACAGACTTGATAACAGTTTTCAAATACGTTAAGGGCTGTTATAAAGAGGACAGGGATCAGTTGTTTTCCATCTCCACTGAAGTAGTAATGGACAAGTAGTAATGGACTTAATTTGCAGCAAGGGGGATTTAGGTTAGGTATTAGGGAAAGCTTTCCAATTGTATGGGTAGTTAAGCTCTGGAACAGGCTTCTAAGGGAGGGTGTGAAATCCCCATTGTTGCAGGTTTTTAAGAACAGGTTGGACAAACAACTGTCAGGATGGTCTAGGTATATGTGGTCCTGCCACAGCGGTGGGGGCTGGACTTGATGACCTCTTGATGTCCCTTCCTGCCCGACATTTGTATGATTATGTTGATCTGTAGCTGGTGATATTTTGAAGATGACTTTTGTTCGCTTGGAATAGATGGTAGACCACTATTATTTACAATATATATTAAAAAGCACCTCAGCTAGGCTATAGGTGCCTCTGCCACCAATGGAAAGTACATTAGGCTCTGGTTGAATTGATTGCCAAGTGCATTACATAAAACTACACAAAACTTATTTGTCAGGCCCATGATTTTCCCATGAGGATGGGAGTTTTTAGGCAGTTATTTCATAAATTTCAAAGCCCAAAGGAACTCATTTATTCTGATCTCCTGTATATCTCGGGCCATTAAACCTCCCCTAGACACCCCTGTATTGAGCCCAATGACTTTAGTTATACTAAAATGGTTCAGTCCTCAGGAGACTAACCTGCTGTGTGCAACAGGAAGAGAACAGGTGAGCCCCAGCTGCCACCAGTGCTGGAGGCCCTCACAGTTGCAGGGAATTGATTAGGTGAGATGTGCCTTTTAAGTGACTGGACATGTCAATAAGTGACTGGCAGTTCTCAAGCCATGCAGTGTTGTCAACCCCTTTAGGGAGCAACCTTCCCTCTAAGACCCTTGACACTGGCCAGCGGCTAACAGTGCCTTCTCCACTTGGGCTTCTGTCGGTCCCCTCCTTTGGGTGGATAGAGGGATTCTGCACTACTAGCAGAACTAGTGTGACTAGTGGCTATCTGGAAGTCCTGCCTGCATCTCCCACTGGTGTACAGTTCCCTTGCTAATGAGCAGGTGGAGAGACATGACAAGTACAGCAAATGGAAGATCTCTAGCTGCTCCTGCACTGCCCTGGCACCTTCCCACAACACCCTTGTGTGGTAGAGATGGGGGAGATGGGGCAACAGAAAAGTTCACTGACTGGCCCAAGGGCACACAAGAAGTGCCTGGCAGTGCTGAGATGGCACCTAATTCTTCAGATGCTTATGCTGTGGATTTTGGTACTCTGCTTGAAGCCTAATAAACTGTAAACTCCCCCACGCCCAGGGAAATAACACACATGCAACGTGAGAAGGGACTTGGAAGTGACAATGGGCAGCAAGTTAGATGGCACCAATGTAGCCCGTGCAGTTGTATTGTACAATGGTGTATGGAGATGTCTCTGGTCTAGCTCCTCAGCTGGTGTAAACTGAACTAATACTGCCTGGAGACTCATGCTCTTGCTGTCCAGCACTGTGAAGGCCAGCAGCAGGCTGGGTGACCAGAGCACAGCACTGGGACTCAGGAGATCTTGGATCTAATCCACACAATGCTGGTGGCTCACTGTGTGATCCTGGACAAGTCACAAAGCTTCTCTGTGCCTCAGTATTCCCATCTAATAGAAATGAAAGCTCAGGCATGTTCTCTTCCCTTCAGCCATACAGCCCTCCAGACTCTATGGACCAAGTGTGAGTCGCTCATCCAACCATGCCCCTAGCTTACTAGAGGGAATCCCTCCTAGGGGATAGGAATCCCTCCTAGCCACAGTAAGTACACTGTGTCATTGGTGGAGCCAAGGCTTCTCCATGATACCCATCACACCTGGCAGGAGGTGGACCACAGTAGCTGGTCTGCTGGAGCTTGGTCCTCTGGCACCTGCCAACACTGCTCGGTAATCTTCCAGAGGGGCTGCTGCTGAGGGCCTGATGTCCTCTTTCCCTTCCCTCAGAACTCATTGATTTCAATGAGAGGTAGGCAGCTAGGCAAAATATCTTGGAAGAGCAGGCCTTAGCCCACTGCCTCTGCCACAATCACATCTGCTGTTGCAACAGCCAGGGAGAGACTAGGGCCAGAACTCAGACCTAGACATCTTGCCTGGATGATCTTTGCTACAATGAACAACGTGCCAGTGTTATACTAGGGGCTTTATAAGCTTCATGGGCCAGACCCTGAGCTAGTGTAAGTTGACACTGACTTCAGTGGAGCGGTGCCACTTTACACTAGGGGAGGCTCTGGCCTTATTTGCCACATGGGTTATGGATAGGGTGACCAGATAGCAAGTGTGAAAAATTGGGACGGAGGGGGGGAGAGGGGGTAATAGGAGCCTATATCAGACAAAACTCCAAATATCGGAACATCTGGTCACTCTAGTTATGGCTACAATGCAGTCAGAGGCTAGACTGTAGCATGTGCAGACATACCTGAGCTATCTCAGATCTAGCTAGTGTGAGTAACATAGAAGCTGCAGTAGCACAGACAGCAGCATGCGTTAGCCATGTAAGGACATACCCAGAGTCCAGTGCTGAGACAACGTCACTGCTATTGTTATTCACACTGGCTAGGGTATGGCTACACGGGCTAAAGTCACACCTCTGATTGCAGCGCAGATAGGCCCAGACAAGAATTAGAATCATAGAATATCGGGGTTGGAAGGTACCTCAGGAGGTCATCTAGTCCAGCCCCCTGCTCAAAGCAGGACCAATCCTAACTAAATCATCCCAGCCAGGGCTTTGTCAAGCCTGACCTTAAAAGCCTCCAAGGAAGGAGATTCCACCACCTCCCTAGGTAACCCATTCCAGTGCTTCACCACCCTCCTAGTGAAAAAGTTTTTCCTAATATCCAACCTAAACCTCCCCCACTGCAACTTGAGACCATTACCCCTTGTTCTGTCATCTGCCACCACTGAGAACTGCCTAGCTCTATCCTGTTTGGAACGCCCTTTCAGGTACACCTCTACCTCGATATAATGCTGTCCTCGGGAGCCAAAAAATCTTATCGTGTTATAGGTGAAATCGCGTTATACTGAACTTGCTTTAATCCACCGGAGCACTGCTTTACCATGTTATATCCAAATTCGTGTTATATTGGGTCGCATTATATCGAGGTAGCGGTGTAGTTGAAAGCAGCTATCAAATCCCCTCTCATTCTTCTCTTCTGCAGACTAAACAAACCCAGTTCCCTCAGCCTCTCCTCGTAAGTCATGTGCTCCAGCCCCCTAATAATTTTTGTTGCCCTTCGCTGGACTCTTTCCAATTTTTCCACATCCTTCTTGTAATGTGGGGCCCAAAACTGGACACAGTACTCCAGATGAGGCCTCACCAATGCAGAATAGAGGGGAATGATCATGTCCCTCAATCTGCTGGCAATGCCCCTACTTATACAGCCCAAAATGCTGTTAGCCTTCTTGGCAACAAGGGCACACTGTTGACTCATATCCAGCTTCTCGTCCACTGTAACCCCTAGGTCCTTTTCTGCAGAACTGCTGCCTAGCCATTCGGTCCCTAGTCTGTAGCAGTGCATGGGATTCTTCCATCCTAAGTGCAGGACTCTGCATTTGTCCTTGTTGAACCTCATCAGATTTCTTTTGGCCCAATCCTCAAATTTGTCTAGGTCCCTCTGTATCCTATCCCTACCCTCCAGCATATCTACCACTCCTCCCAGTTTAGTGTCATCTGCAAACTTGCTGAGGGTGCAATCCACGCCATCCTCCAAATCATTAATGAAGATATTGAACAAAACCAGTCCCTGGACCAACCCTTTGGGCACTCCGCTTGATATCGGCTGCCAACTAGACATGGAGCCATTGATCAGTACCTGTTGAGCCCGATGATCTAGCCAGCTTTCTATCCACCTTATAGTCCATTCATCCAGCCCATACTTCTTTAACTTGCTGGCAAGAATACTGTGGGAGACCATATCAAAAGCTTTGCTAAAGTCAAGGAATAACACATCCACCGCTTTCCCCTCATCCACAGAGCCAGTTATTTCATCATAAAAGGCAATTAGTTTAGTCAGGCATGACTTGCCCTTGGTGAATCCATGCTGACTGTTCCTGATCACTTTCCTCTCCTCTAAGTGCTTCAGAATTGATTCCTTGAGGACCTGCTCCATGATTTTTCCGGGGACTGAGGTGAGGCTGACTGGCCTGTAGTTCCCCGGATCCTCCTTCTTCCCTTTTTTAAAGATGGGCACTACATTAGCCTTTTTCCAGTCATCCGGGACCTCACCCGATCGCCATGAGTTTTCAAAGATAATGGCCAATGGCTCTGCAATCACATCCACCAACTCCTTTAGCACCCTCAGATGCAGCACATCCAGCCCCATGGACTTGTGCTCGTCCAGCTTTAGCATCAACTACACCTTGATTAGTATTTACTTCTTGGATCAGTATTTTGATATTGATTTCAGCATCAGTCAATGAACATATGTGGTTACATTATGGACTGTCAATACCAGATGATCCAACAGGGAAGCCAGAGCATGGTATCAGTGAGTTCGGTGTGATGACACTTGCTAGGTGAAACAGGAGTTGTGTCACAGATACAGGAACAGTCTAGGGCAGCAGCTGACAAACTGAAATTGTGGTAAAGACTTAGCACTTCGCCAAGATGCTGATTTGTGCTCTTGTGAAGTTTTAAGTGGACCTGTGTTAGCTGTAACTCACCATACCTCTCCACTAATGCACCATACCTCCCCCCCTCCCCCGCCCCGTGCAATGCACCAGCACCACCGGCCCATATGCCTACAACCCACCCCCACGCTGGGCTAACATTCATGGTTGCAAAAAGTGCTGTGGGCTGTTTAATGACCTCCGTTTACATTCTCTCCAAAATATGCGCCCCAGAAACACTGCTGCTGCTGGCACTGGGTTAGCGCCCACCCAGAGAGAAGCATGCCCTCTACAGAGTTTCTTTGAATCCAGAGTTTTTCAGAGGTCCCCCAGGTAGCCAGGTTCCCCATGTCCTGCATGCTGTGAGACGGGCACAGCTCCTTGGCCAACAGCTAAGGCAGTCACAGCAATAAGGAACTCATTAACACTCCGGCAAAGCACAGGCTGGTTTCTGGCTGCTGAGTTCCTGCCCCTGCTGTGTAATGGGAGTAGCGATGAAGAACGGCACCCACCTGTGTCTGAACCACCCAGCAGCCCGCAGAGCTGGTTACTGTCACTTTCTGTGTTCTTATTCTTTGATCGTCCTACAGGAACCCCTTCCTGAGCAGTCTCGCAGCATCGACCCCAGGGATGCCTGGATGCTCTTTATGAAACAATCAAACAAAGGGGTGAACAGCAAGAAACGGGACAAAGGCAAATCAAAAAAATTCAAGGTATGTATTCACATCCCCGGTGTGTCTGCACAACCCACCCCAGGGAGCCCCAGCTCAGACTCGTTGCACCCCATCCCACACAGCGATCCCAGGCCTGCTGCACCGCCACCCCATGCAGAGATCCGAACTGTGCCTGCTGCGCCCACCCTACACAGACATCCCTGGCACTGGCCCACTGCGCCCCTCCCGTCACAGAGCTCCTGAGCCTGGGCCCACTGCGCCCCTCCCCTCACAGAGCTCCTGAGCCTGGGCCCACTGCGCCCCTCCCCTCACAGAGCTCCTGAGCCTGGGCCCACTGCGCCCCTCCCCTCACAGAGCTCCTGAGCCTGGGCCCACTGCGCCCCTCCCATCACAGAGCTCCTCAGCCTGGACCCACTGCGCCCCTCCCATCACAGAGCTCCTCAGCCTGGGCCCACTGGGCCCCTCCCATCACAGAGCTCCTGAGCCTGGGCCCACTGTGCCCCTCCCCTCACAGAGATGCTCAGCTTGGGCGCATTGCACCCCACATGGAGAGTCCTGGCCCAAGCCTACTGTGCCCCCAACCCAGAGGGCCCACAGCATCCCTAGTGTAACAGCCCTGCTCCTTCTGAGCCCAGAACAGACCGAGGGGGTGGGGCTGAAAACAGTGACCAATCCAGCAGAGATGACCAATCCTGCTTAGATTCCAGCACAGAGTTCAGAACAGGCAGGTGCCCTTTCGGGCAATGGGAAGGGGAAGGGTGCCAGGATGTGGGTGACTAGAGGTTGGCACTGCGGGATGGAGCCATTCTTATTGGATCTACACTGGCTGGGGGCTGTGCCCTAATTTGAACTGAGTAGCTCTGTGCTCTGTCTGGGGTTCCAGTTTGGCCTGCCAGGCCCACCAGGTCCCCCCAGCCCTCAAGGAGCCCTGGTGACACCAGAAGAATTGCTGAAGGACTTCCGGCTGCTGCTGAAAGGTACAGTATGAAAGCCAGTGCATGGAGTGGGCTGAGTGTGTCTCCACAGGCACTTCAGCTGGGCTGGGAAGGTGGGTGCCCCATGCTGCAGGGAGTGTGACACTGAAGAGACAAGAGCTCATGTCCTACTGGGGGGGCAAGGTCACCTTGTGAACCTGATCTCCCTCTCTCAGGGTTGAGGTTAAGGAGAGTAAGGGCTAGTCTACACTGCAATGCTAAGGTGCTGCTGTGGCAGCGCTTTAATATGGCTTGTGTAGTCACGGCAGAGTGCTGGGAGAGAGCTCTTCCAGCGCTCTAAAAAACCCCACCTCCACGAGTGGCGTAGCTACCAGAGCTGGGAGTGCAACTCCCGACACTGGCGCACTATCTACACTGGCAGACTGGCTTTTCACACCCCTGAGCGAGAAAGTTGCAGCACTGCAAAGTGCCAGTGTAGACAAGCCCTTAGTGGTTGCTGTCTAGTGCATATGGGGAGTCGACCCCTTGGTGGGTGCAGGGGCAGTAAGTTGGCATGCAGTGCTGCTTAGCCTGCCTGCCCAGACACAAGAGCCAGGTAACTGGAGCAGGGCAGAAAGGGGTGTATGTCTGGGGTGGTATCTTACTCCCTCTTACATGGGTGCTCAGCCAGACAAACTCCAGCCCCAGGAGCAGCTTTACACTTTCAGTGTATCGGTTATTTCGACATAATTTTCCAGAACAGAGTTTTACACTCACACATCAGGACATGACTAACTACAACCTCAAATGTGCACTTTGTCTAATATCACAAATAATAATTGCTAACACACATCTTGGTGATGAGGTACTAATTTGTCTGTGTTTGTGTGGGCGGGGTGTTAGGGAAGTGACTTTAGCCCCAATCCAACCTCCGTTGCAGTCTTTGGAGATGTTTCAGAGTAGCAGCCGTGTTAGTCTGTATCTGCAAAAAGAACAGGCGTACTTGTGGCACCTTAGAGACTAATGAATTTATTTGAGCATAAGCTTTCGTGGGCTACAGCCCACTTCTAACTGCAGTGGTAGGTGTGCACTTGTGTGGTGAGATTTGTGTGTGTCACAAACTCATTCCCTGTTTATCTCCAACACCTCAGAGGACTTCCCATTAGCTTTTTGGCTCAATACTTAAGAATCAAACTCAGCAACAATAATTGGGAACCCCAGAGAACTAATAGCCCTTTCCTGGCTTCATGACTGCAATGAAAACCAATGGGAGCATTCTTCAAAAAACCTCACTGCTGCCTAAAATGACCAGGACGGAACATTTGCCTGGATCAAGCACATGAAGCAAGGATGACTGGGATTCAGTCTATCATGATGGTGCCAGCTTGCTGGGCTTTGACTAGAATTCACACCAGTGTCCATCCTGCTTCCATTGACATCAAGGGGCATTTTACCATTGGCTCCAATGGGAGCAGTCATTTGTGAAAACCCTTTGTACATCGGTGACTCTTAAAACTGGTTCTCTGGGGGGCGTTCTCTCAGAGGTGGTAAAAGAGCGGGAGAGGATGAGCCTGAAGGCCTGTGAAGGTTGCCAGGAAGGTGAGGAAGAGGAGGAGAGAGGAGAAGATGACATCTTGGCACTTGTTGCTGGTCCGTTGGCAAAGAGTAAGCCACAGCATCGAGTGGAGGCAGCCTTCCACTGCCGAATACGGAGAAACATTTCCATTGAACGGAGATCCCTGCAAGAACTTCGGATCTATTACATAGTGAGTGAGGGAGGGAGTTTGCCATGCTGGACTGGCAAAAATGCAGATTCAGCAACACTGACACGTTTCCCGAATTTGTGTTGGTTTTGCCAAATTGTTTTGGTCAAAAAACAAACAGTCCAAAAATTGTCATTTTTCTAAATGAAACGTTTCAAATTGTTGGCTCAAAACACCTTTTTGTTTCAAAATTTTCTTTAATTTTATTTTAAAAACCCAACAAAAAATGTTTTTAAATGGCTGGAATCAAAATGAAACATTTCAATTTTGCCTAAATGAAATATTTTGTTTGACCTGAAACAATTTTTTTTCTACTTTTTGATTTGCTGAAACATTTCATTTTTGGTTCAGCCTGAAATTGCATCTTTTTCCCCCCAATTTTTCAGAATTGCCAGTGAATTAAAAAAAAATCCATTATTCTCACAATTATATTCCCAGCATCTGATCTCTCCGAGGAAGGTGAATATAACTTCAATCCAACCCCCACAGGAGTCTCTGGGGAGATTCCCATTGACTTCAATGAGCATTGGATCAGGTCCTGACCTCCCAAATGCACCTTGCCATTTGTACCATATTATAGGTGTGTGTGCCGGGATGGGGGTAGGGGGGGGTTACTTCCTTTGAGCCTCCTAGCCAATTGCAGGCCAATTAAAATCCCTAGACAAACTTTTATGTACCAATGGAGATAAGGCTGAGTACACATCAGTAACTTAGGATACAAAAATATTACACGGATGTTATTTTTAGACCCAAAATAAGCATTACAGACCAGGAAATTCAGAGTTAAGGTTAAACATACATAAAATCTAGATACAGTAGAACCTCAGAGTTATGAACACCTCGGGAATGGAGGTTGTTCGTAACTCTGAACAAAACATTACAGTTCTTTCAAAAGTTTACAACTGAACATTGACTTAATACAGCTTTGAAACTTTACTATGCAGAAGAAAAATGCTGCTTTTAACCATCTTAATTTAATGAAACAAGCACAGAAACCGTTTCCTTACCTTGTCAAATCATATTTTTAATCTTGTTAGATCTTTCCCTTTTTTTTAAGTAGTTTACATTTAACACAGTCCTGTACTGTATTTGCTTTTATTTTGGTCTCTCCTGCTGCCTGATTGTGTACGTCTGGTTCCAAATGAGCTGTGTGGTTGACCGGTCAATTTGTAATTCTGATGTTCATAACTCTGATGTTCTACTGTATATTAAGACCCGTAAATGCAGTTAAGACACCCAGAACAACCTTAAAAACTCTGCTCTATAATGATGCCATATACTACACATAGAGTTAAGAATCGTGCGTTTTTTTTCCACGATTTCTCCTCATAGTGTCACTACAACCCAGAATTCCCTGCCCTGAAGAATTTACAACCTATACAGACAAGACTAAAGGAGTACTATTATCCCTATTTTCTAGATGAGGAAAAGAGACAAAGAGAGATTATGCAGCTTGTCCATGGCCACATAAGAAGTCGGTGGCAGAGCTAGGAATTGTACTCTGAGTAGGGTTGCCAATTTTCTAATTTCTGAAAACCGGACACTACAGAAGTAAAGCCGGAATCTCCCCCCTCCACCTCATCCCCTGAGGCCCCGCCCCTGCTCCGCCCCTTCCCCGAGGCCCCCACCCCCATCACTCGCAACTCTCCTCCCTTCCCCTTCCTTGATCCCGTCCCCGCCCCCCCGCCCCCCCACACAACTGGGCGCTCTCTACTCCGGGGCTAGGATGGGAGCCTGCCCGCCCACGAGATGCAGGTAGGAGACGGCCCCAGCTGAGCAGGGGCTGGCATGGGTTGATGACCCAGTGCCTACTCCCTTGGCCCCCCCACCTGTGGTAACTGGACTTTTGGTGTCGTCAGTACATGTGACTGGACACTGTACGGGTCCCCTTTCAACCAGACTTTCTGGTCAAAAACTGGACACCAGGCAACCCTAACTCTGAGCTTTCCAAAGTCCTTCACCAGCCATCCTACCTTTTTAATCTACTGATCAAAATTTGCTTGCAGGTATTATTTGATGAATAATTCTGAGTAACAAACACATTTGAAAACAATCATGGTCAGACATCAGATAATCTGTGAACAACTAGAGAACAAGACAAATTTTCATATACGTTGTTAGGCCTAGTCTGTACTTAATAATTATGGCAGTAAGAGGCCTAGTGTAGATACAGTTATACTCTGCGTGCTGCGATCACCCTCTGCTTGCACTGCAGACACAGTGCATGTCTGTTTCCTAAGGGGATGCTGCTAACTGAGCGCCCATCTCCTAATGCAATATGTAGAGTTGGGATGGTGTTTTGCAGTGTGTGCAGTCTTGCCTTTCTCTTTGTTATTAGCCTCAGAAAGAGGGGGTGTTCCATCGAGGCCTGGGGCTGAACCTGACCAGCGGCCAATACACAGCACCTGTTGCAGGGTATTACACCTTCACCGCCACCTTGCACATCGGTAAGCTTTCCTGCTGCCTGGCACACAGAGCTGGCCTCCACACAGGGCCGGCTCTAGATTTTTTGCTGCCCCAAGCAAAACAAATTTTGGCTGCCCCCCCAACACACACACCCTGCACCCTCCTGCCACCCCAGCCCTGGGTCACTGGCAACTCGCTCCCAGGGCGGGTCATTCAGCAGGAATGTTGGATGTGCACAGAACACAGACAGGATTGGTTCCCATATGGTTACAGAACTGCAGTAAAGTGGAACAGTTTTCAGCTTGTGTGATTGAAGGCTATCTGGATGCATATTATAAGACTGTCCTACATAAATGAGGAAAAGTTGAGGTACCTTTATTATTCTTTTGTTCCATTCTTTGTTTCTATGGGGAATTTGCCAATGCAATATCACTGTCTTCCTTTTAAACAAATAAAACTAAAACTTAATAATAAATAATAATAATAATAAAAGCAATGGCCGTTGGAAATAGCAATTCCAGTCCTAATAACCACTGGGAAGCATTTCTTGTTCAATTTATTCTACTTTTTCCTACAGCAAATTACAGTGGATCAGTATATTTGATTTGGGAGAAATGAAGTAACAGCTGCCCAAATGGAGCTTGAGAACTCCTGAATTTTGAGGGTGTTCAAATCTGGAAGGCAGGTGCTGGATTCCCTTTCTGAATATTAGCTAAATCTGGAAAAGTCAATTTCTGCTTCCATGGCTCAGAAGTGTAAATCCTCCTATGTGCCTGGTACTGTATCTAAAACTGCCCAGTCTAGTAGAGCCTCCCCTCCCTTACTTTTCATTTTAAATTCTAGTGGGATCCACGTACCTGCCTTGCTAGGCTTCAGATAGAGAGGTGCAATGTCCATTTAGTCCACCCAATTCTTTCTTTGGGGGAGAGCCCAGGGCTGGGGCGGCAGGAGATGCGGGTGTGGGGGAAGAGGGGGGGGAAGAGCCCAGGGCTGGGGCAACACGGTGGTGCAGGGGGAGCCCAGGGCTGAGGTGGGGGGTGGCAAAAAACCTAGAGCTGCCTCTGTCCCTACCATGTACAGCAAGCTGCAGCATGAGATTTCAGTTCTACACTCCTTTCCCCTCCTTTTCCTGTTAATTGTGGCTGAGGGAATGCTGGGAAATGTAGTTCTTTCCCTGCTCCGGGGCTGGCTCTATAGGCAGGGAGCTAACCAAGGAACTACAGCTCCCAGGGATCCCTGTTGGTTCTCAGCTCTCATGCTGGATTCTTGCGCCCCTGCAAATTTGCCGCCCCAAGCACATGCTTGCTTTGCTGGTGGCTAGAGCCGGTCCTGCCTCCACAGCATGGCGATAATCATAGCATCATAGAAGATTAGGGTTGGAAGAGACCTCAGGAGGTCATCTAGTCCAACCCCCTGCTCAAAGCAGGACCAACCCCCACTAAATCATCCCAACCAGGGTTTTGCCAAGCCGGGCATTAAAAACCTCTAAGGATGGAGATTCCACCACTTCCCTAGATAACCCATTCCAGTGCTTCACCACCCTCCTTCAGGTAGTTGAAGGCTGCTATCAAATCCTCCCTCACTCTTCTCTTCCGAAGGCTAAATAAGCCCAGTTCCCTCAGCCTGTCCTCATAAATCATGTGCCCCAGCCCCCTAATCATTTTTGTTGCCCTCCGCTGGACTCTCGCCAATTAGTTCACATCCTTTCTGTGGTGGGGGGCCCAAAACTGGACACAATACTCCAGATGTGGCCTCACCAGTGCCTAATAGAGGGGAATAATCACTTCTCTCGATCTGCTGGCAGTGCTCCTACTAATGCAGCCCAATATGTCGTTAGCCTTCTTGGCAACAAGGGCACACTGTTGACTCATATCCAGCTTCTCGTCCACTGTAATCCCCAGGTCCTTTTCTGCAGAACTGCCACTTATCCAGTCGGTCCCTAGTCTGTAGCAGTGCATGGGATTCTTCCATCCTAAGTGCAGGACTCTGCACTTGTCCTTACTGAACCTCATCAGATTTCTTTTGGCCCAATCCTCCAACTTGTCTAGATCACTCTGGACCCTATCCCTACCCTCCAGTGTATCTACTTTTTCCCCAGCTTAGTGTCATCTGTGAACTTGCTGAGGGTGCAAATCCTTCTCATCATCCAGATCATTAATGAAGATGTTGAACACTACTGGTCCCAGGACTGACTCCTGGGGCACTCCGCTTGGTACTGGCTGCCAGCTAGACATCGTGCCGTTGATCACTACCCGTTGAGCCCGACGATCTAGCCAGCTGTCTATCCACCTTATAGTCCATTCATCCAATCCATACTGCTTTAACTTGCTGGCAAGAATACTGTGGGAGACCATATCAAAAGCTTTGCTAAAGTCAAGGTGTATCACGTCTATTGCTTTCCCCATACCCACAGAGCCAGTTATCTCATCATAGAAGGCAATCAGGCATTGGTCAGGCATGACTTGCCCTTGGTGAATCCATGTTTACTATTCCTGATCACCTTCCTCTCCTCCAAGTGCTTCAAAATGGTTTCCTTGAGGACCTGCTCCATGATTTTTCCAGGGACTGAGGTGAGCCTGACTGGTCTATAGTTCCCCGGATTCTCCTTCTTCCCTTTTTTAGAGATAGGCACTATATTTGCCTTTTTCCAATCGTCCAGGACCTCGCCTGATTGCCACGAGTTTTCAAAGATAATGGCTAATGGCTCTGCAATCACATCAGTCAACTCCCTCAGCACCCTTGGATGCAGTACATCCAGCCCCATGGACTAGTGTATGTCCAGCTTTTCTAAATAGTCCTTAACCTGTTCTTTCACCACTGAGGTCTGCTCACCTCCTCCCCATACTGTGTTGCCCAGTGCAGCAGTCTGGGAGCTGACCTTGTCTATGAAGACTGAGGCAAAAAAAGCATTGAGTACTTCAGCTTTTTCCACATCATCTGTCATTAGGTTGCCTCCCCCATTCAATAAGGGTCCCACACTTTCTCTGACCTTCTTCTTGTTGTTAACATACCTATAGAAACCCTTCTTGTTATTCTTCACATCCCTTGCTGCAACTCCAATCGTGGTTTGGCCTTCCTGATTACACCCCTGCATACTCGAGCAATATTTTTATACTCCTCCATAGTCATCCTCCAGGACTCTTTGGGACAGAAACCTTAGTGGCATAAATAAGTGTAGCTCCATTGAAGTTACTGTGCCAGATCCTCTGCTGGTGTAAATCAGCATAGTTCCACTGTAGTCAACATACTGTGGGTATGACTTGATGTAGTTCCACTGACGATCATTTGGCTACACTAATTTACACCAGCTGAGGCCCAGACCCAGCTATTCAATCAGAGCATTCAGGCTGGCCAGCTGTGTGGGCATGTCTGGCTTCCCTGGGGGGCTGAGGCCTAAGACCTTTACAGGGGGTTCTGTTCAGAAGGGGAGAACATCTCATCCCTGTCTCATTTGCTGTTCTGTGTTTATAGTTCATGGAGAACAACAGAAGAAAGGACAACAGCGTGCGAGAGATCGCCTGCGGGTACTGATCTGCGTCCAGTCTCTGTGTCAACATAACATGTGAGTGTGCCTGGTAGAGGCATGCCCTCCCTGCTAGCACAGCCAGACTTCTTTTAAATGTAAAAACTGTTTTTCTCTCTCTTAGTCCAGAAGGTGAGTTCACAAAAAGGAGGGGCCCACAGTCCATAGGGCACACAGATCATGGCACCACTATGGCTGTTGGGAGCTGGTGAAGGATTTCCTATTTAGGGGAAATCCCAGGGTGGCCTGGAACCTCTGTAGCTGCTTCCACACCATCCCCTTTCTCATCTCTCAGAGTAGGGGATCTGGCTGGGAGAGAGAGATCCTGTCTGGGGTATCCCTGCACCCTGGTGATTCCTAGCTGCCTGAATAGCTTCTGGGGGCCTTTGATAGCTGGGTTTAAACTAGAACAGCCTTAAGGCTGATCTAACATAGACTAGCAACTGGCTTGGCTCCCAGATCAGGTGACATAATGTCAACTTTGTATGTCCTTTATGTGCCCCAGTCCTGAACTGCATTGAACATTGCACTGGACTGGTGCCTGTAACTGAAGTATCATCACAGCTACCACTAGTCAAAAAAATGTCTGTGGAACAGTTTTCCACCAAAAAAATGCGGTTTCATCAAAATCCAAATGTTTCACTGGAATGTGTCAATTTCGATGACATGCTTGAAGCGAAAAAGTTGAAATGACTTCAATTTTCTCGTTTCATTTGGAGAGTGTCAAAATGGTGTTCATTATGACTTTGATTCATTTTGTTTTGATTTTTATAGTATATCAAATGTTCATTTACATATATTTAATATTTTAATATCATATAAACATCAAAGCAAAGTGAATTGACATTCTCAAAATGAAATGTTTTAATAATTTTGAATGGAAATTTTTTTTTAAATTTTCATTCCACAGGACATTTTGAAATTTTAGCATTTTGTTCTATTTCAGAATGAATGTTTTTTTTTTTTTAAATTCAGAATTGCCTGTGGAATGGAAATGCCAATTTCAGCCAGCTCTAATCACAACCATGCTCTGTGGGCCAAATTAATAGCGGCGCCTGTGGGATTGTCTACATGGGGACTCTTAGGAAGGTTAATCTGAATGAACTTTTAAAGTGGTTTCTCCTGTCAGTGCAGGTACTCCACCTCTCTGCGAGGCAGTAGCTATGTCAACAGGAGAATTCTCCCATTGACCTAGCGCTGTATACACCAGGAGTTAGGTTAGTTTAACTGGACTGCTCAGGGGAGTGTGAATTTTTTCACACCCCCAAGCGACTTAGGATATGTCTACGCTGTCCATGTCACAGCGCTGCATGGGCAGTGTAGTCACGCTTTATCACTGGGGGAGAGCTCTCACGGCGATAAAAAAAATCAAACAAACCCTCAAACGAGTGGTGGTAGCTTTATCGCCGGGAGCTGCGCTGTCTATACTGGTGTTTTTCAGCGCTAAAACTTTTGTTGCTCAGGGGTGTGTTTTTTCACACCCCTGAACGACAAAAGTTTTAGCGCTGAAAGTGACAGTGTAGACATAGCCTTTGTTATACCGACCTAAGTTCCTAGTGTAGTCCGGACCTTAGATTCCCTCTGACTTACATGCATCTTACCAATGTGCAACTTAGACCACATCTGACTTTGGTCCCTGGATGCGTAGTTTATAGGGGGCCCTATGTGTCTGGTAGTCAGCATGAGAGTGATGGAGTATCGTCACTATAGCTTTGTGACAAAGAGCAAAAATATTTCCACAGCGCACACATTCTGTGCCAGGTACTGCTCACAAAACAGTGCCACAAACCAAGGGAAACAATAGTCCTGCAGAGTTGTGCCATTTAGTTATTTGGAAATGTTGTCAACCCCTCCTGGCTAATGTCAGCTGATCACAGAGCTGGTCTATGCATGGGACCAAATTAAATTCTATATGCTGGTCTCAGCTAGAACTCTGGGTTGTTCTCCAGAAAAAGTGCAAAGCCCCAAATCTCTCCCCTCTGTATAAACAAATCTCACCTCCACAAGATGCACTGTAAAGGAAGCCAATTTTAGCAAGGATCATGCCAGAAGAGGCATGTGCATCTGTCATTACCATCTGAGGCATATACATACAGAACCCATGCATCTAGCTCGGCTAGTAGCGTGCATGTGGGCTAAGATTTTCAAAGCTGCCTAGGGGATTTTACTGTCCAAAACCCATTAGGTTGGAAAAACCTCATCCATTCTCTTTCTATATAGCTCTCCATGTTATTACACATGTATCCCAAGGGTCTTTGCCTGCATAACTTCTACTGAAATAGGATTTTAATTATATGTCACTTTATTAGGTAGAAAATAAAATACTTACAGTGTTCTGGAGGGACACCCTCTCAGTTAGAAAGGTAGGTCAGGTGCCAAGCCCCTTCCATCACTGGCCCCCTGCTGACACTGCCAGCATGAATGCTAACTTTAATGGCTGGCTTGTGCTGGCTACTAAGAAATCATAGAATCATAGAAGATTAGGGTTGGAAGAGATCTCAGGAGGTCATCTAGTCCAACCCCCTGCTCAAAGCAGGACCAACCCCACTAAATCATCCCAACTCATATTAGTGATCCCATTGCCATCAGATTGTAAGGGCTTCCAGTCACAACCAGGGTAGACTAGATGGCCATACATGGGGTCAGGAAGGATTTTTCCCCCAGGTCAGATTAGCAGTGAGTTGGGGCTTTTTCACCTTCCTCTGCAGCGTGTGGCAGGTCACTATCCAGGATTATCTGGAGCTATCTCATAATCATTTCCCTGCCATTGCAGGGACCGCGAGCACTGATGCACCTTGGGCCCTCCTAGTCCATTCCTGTGGCACATCGAGTCTCCTGTGGGCTGTAATACTTTTTTCTAATGTCTGTTGTTGGGATGAGTGTGCGGATGATCGGGGGTGTAGGGAACCAGTAATATACAGGTCAGAGGGGGTGATCTGCTGGTCCCTTACAGCCATAAACTCTATGACCCTCTGTGAGCCAGTCCTAGTGGGAAAAAGCACTCCATCCCTAGCCTTTGTTTGCATAATAAATTGATGGATGGGATGAACCCTCCAGAACATAGCTGAGATAAATACATCAACATGGGGGCGTGAGAAAGCCTGCTGAGCTTCTGACCATGCTGCACCTACTCCATGGCAAGAGGCTGTCAAGCACCAGGCCACCCCTGGGACCATTCTTGAGCACTATACTTGGTTTGGTTTTTTAAACAAAATTTAGAATTAAATGTAAATAATGATGCAGAGGGTGATGAGCAGCTTTGCAGAGAGGAGACAAGTTTGCCAGGGCATTGTGCAGTCCGCCCCTTCTCTTTAATGTCTGGACCTAGGGATGGGGGAGGCAATCACTCTCTATTACTGTAGATAACTGGCTAGTAGGTGAATTCTGGGTTGTACATGGATTGCCTCAGTGCTGACATTGCTGTTTCTTGTCTTCAGTTCTCTGGAGACGGTGGCTGGTTTGGACAGCAGTGAACTTTTCACCATCTCAGTCAGTGGAGTCCTGTACTTACAGGTAAACATGAGCAAACTAATGAGGCCAAGGGGTATTCCTTATGGGCAGACCCACCTTGTGCAGTGTGCTATTGACATGAGCATGCAGCACAACTGGGCAGCTAACTTTTCACAACAATAACTCTACCCACGGGGAGCCAGGCAGCTTCGTACAGCCCACACTGAAGTCCATGCTATTTTCAGCATGCTAGCTAGCTCAAAGTAAACAGGAGTATACCTACCCCATCTGTAATCACACCTCTGATTGCATTGCAGACATGCCGTAATTAAGCACATCCATTCCCAAGTGCAGCAGGAAGTCACTGTGGTTTACAAGCTCTTCAATGCAGGAAGCTATGTCCTTTTCTACAGAAAGTGCCCTGCATTGTGGGTGCTACTGGAACCAACCAGTGAAGATGACAGGCATGTGCTTCTGTGCTGGCTTTCCTCTGCAGCTGGGCAGGAAGTTCATTCCTCAGTCTGACTCTGCATCATTTTTTAAAACCAGCCTCAATAATACTGGCATGATCAGCCTTCCATCTCTCTGGGGGCTGAGACCCAGAACGTCAAAGGTATCCGATTTAAACAGGATTAAGCACTTAAAGATCTTTGAGGATGTAGACTCGAGTCCCTCCAGTGATCTGCCACAGTACAGCAGGGTTTAGTCTTTAGGGTGTCCTTGCCTACAGTCAGTGGCTTATAGCAATAGAACCAGCCAACTACTCTGGTACTATATACCGTAGTCCTGATTCCCCCGTGCCTGGCAGCTTGTGTAGTCATTACCACCTCTGTAAAGTGCATGGAAAATGCTACGATTTTGATTGGGTAAATACCTGCATGAGGTGCAGGACAATGGGGAAGCTAGCTGCCTAAGGCACCTCAAGGGATAATGCACATAGCACTGATAGACCAACGCCCACCATTGGCAGACACCCATTACTAAAGGGTAGAGCTTTCGCACTGCACTGTTTTAGTGTTTCCCAATAGAGAGGGATACAGATCAGTCACATTCAGATGTTTGGTCTCAGCCCAAAGGGTTTGGTTTTGAAAAGGAGAACGGATAGTTTAGCAAAGCAGCAAAAGTAAGTTTCTACATTTCGGTGGGGCTACTCATCTGTTTGACAGCAGGCTTCAGTGCATTGCTCAAGTGGGGCTGGAGAGTGTACAAAATACACAGGATATGCAAAACAGCAGAGTCCTCATTATAACCTTAACTTTGGCATTTCCCACTTAGTAACATCCTGGTGGATAATTCAGAACCATCCTACTTTGGAGATTGGTTGAGCCCTGACCCAAACCAGCATGTGCTATTGGCTTGTAGCAGCCTGTACTGGCTGCAGCACTGTGCAAAATGAGCTTAGCATTCCACATGGCAGCCCTGCCCACTCAGCCATGGCAGGGCCTACTTTGTCTGTGGTGGGGGAATTCTTCCTCCCCTGCCAGGCTTTTTACAGTGCCCTCGATGTGGCTAGCATGCTATATAGGGTATAAACACTGCACATTAAGTCCAGGCTCTGACTCAGGCTTGAGCCCAAGCCCACACACAATCTGACCCAGGTTCTATGACCTTGCTAGAGAGTGGGTCAGCCCAAGTCCTACTGTGTCTCAGGTCTAAGCCCTGTAATTTTGCACTATGATAAAGGTCATGTCCCAGACCCAAGTCAGGTGGTCTGCATTTGCAGTATGACTGTTAGCATAGCTATGAGTCCAGCACTTGTAAACCCAGGTTTACAATGGTGTGGGAACACTCAAGCATGAGCTTGGAAACACTGTGTCCACCAGTCTGTCTCCCACCACTCTGGAGTTAGTGGTGCAGCATGACCATAGCCAGAAGGGCTGGAACAAGGGACAGAAACTGCCCCATGTTCTGCTTTAAGTGTAAAACATGACTCAACTTTAAGTAGTGCATCACAACCTACATAACTAGGTAGGCCCTGCCCTAGAGAATGCCATGGCTGAGTTAAGGTTATAATGAGGACTCTGCTGTTTTGCATATCCTGTGTATTTTGTACACGCTCCAGCCCCACTTGAGCAATGCACTGAAGCCTGCTGTCAAACAGAGGAGTAGCCCCACCGAAATGTAGAAACTTACTTTTGCTGCTTTGCTAAACTATAGATCTGCTGCATTTACATGACACACTCCTCTATGTGCTGATTGTGGCAACCTGGGACTATTTTCACTGTCACTCTCATTTCTCCCTTTCAGGCTGGCCAGTATGCCTCGGTTTTTGTAGATAATGCCACTGGATCATCCCTCACTGTTCGAAGTGGCTCGGATTTCAGCGCTGTTCTTCTGGGGGTGTGAATGGTCTCAAACCACCTGCCCTTACACGCTGTAAGCTGAATTGGTCTCTTCAGCAAAAACCACCTTAATTCTCTCCCACCCACGCACAGGGAGCAAAGCACAGATTCTGCTTGTGCTGCAAAACCCAGCCACCAGCCACCATACTTTGCACAAGATCTCAAGCATCCAAAGATGATGGAGAGCTGGAAAGAAAATTGGAAGCATGAAAATAGGAGGACTCACTAAATCCATCCCCCTTTAATTTAATTTATGGCCAGATTTTGAGGCTTATTTTACATGGACAATTATAATATGGCTGACTTCCAAAACCAGACCAAGTTTTATAAAGGAACCCCTCCCCCCAATCAAGCACGAATCCTTAGGAAAAGGTGATTTGAAGAAGCCTTCACCCATAGACTAGCACTTTGGCAATTTTTTGCTGTTCAGTTTTTCAGCAGCCAAAGCCAGATTATGTATATAGCTCTAGCTTTCTTATAGCTCATCAGTTAAGGGTTGCTATCAGCAGGCACTGGTACTTGGAAGTTAATTTTCAATGCAGAGCAGTGTCCTGATAAGGCAGCAGACTAGTTAGAACGTGAATTACTATCCAATGATTTTCCACTTCCTAGGCACTGTGTACTCGCATCACCACCCCATTCTCTGCCCATGGCAGAGAGCCCAGTCAATGGGTGGTGGAGATACTCACCGTTACGCCTGGTTTTAGTCCCGATAGCGCAGTCTAACTCCGATTAACCCAGTGGGACTACGTGCATAAATAAGGGCTGCAGGAATGGGCCCTAAATTAATAACAAAGGCAGGGAAAGAAAAAGATGCAGTCTCATTTCTTAGTACCATGTACTTAATTCCTGAGCTCCTGCCGGAACTTCAATGAGATATCCTAGAACTACACTCAGCTCCACCTTCATGATAGCAGGACAAGGGGCTCAACTCTCTCTCAATTTTATTTTTTCCCCACCAGCAAAGCTTTTCCAGTCCTGCTAGAGGAACTGCTTTCACAGCAAACTCTCCTTTCAGGAAACAAAGTTAACTTGGACTAGGGCATTGGCTGTTGGCAGCATTTTCACAAAATCTTTCAGGAAAAACCTACATATGCTGCCCTTTACATAAAATACTAGCACTCTACAAACCAGCTCATATAATTCGCTGGTTAGAAAACTGTAAGAACCTCTCTACTGCAATAAAAGACCAGCAGCATGGCTGCAGCTGGCCCAGGTCAGCTGACAAGGCTCAGGCTGTGGGGCTTAAACTTGCAGTATAGACATACAGGTTCATGCTGAGACTCCATGAGGAGGGAGGGTCTCTGAGCCCAGGCTCCAGCCTGAGCCTCAACATCTTTGCTGCAATTTTTAGCCCCACAGCCCAAATCAAATGACCTGGGCTCCAAGTCTCAGTGCTGTGAGTTTTTCATTGCAGTGTAGCCATACCCTAACTGTTGTCTTAGAAAAGCTTTACAAGTCTCAATTTGGAGCCCTGGTAACATACAAAGTAGGACATAAGCCCCAAGTTCAAAAGTTTGGTGCTTTCAGCTTTTTATAGTATATAGCAACTTACACACCAAATTCCTGCAGTCTTTACTCTAGCTGAACTCCCACTGAAGTTGTGGGGAATTCAAGCCTGAAAGCCCTTCCCTTTACTAGGAAAAGAAGTAGTGTTCTTACACGTGGTAAAATCCTAGTGAACACAGACCATGTTGTAGCTTTCACACAAATCAGCAGACCAAGGCAAACATCAGGGTTCCCCATGGCAGGTCAAAGTAAGATCTGAAGGACACTGCCAGGCTTTACTGTTTCATACAAGTATCAGAGGGGTAGCCGTGTTAGTCTGAATCTGTAAAAAGCAACAGAGGGTCCTGTGGCACCTTTGAGACTAACAGAAGTATTGAGAGCATAAGCTTTCGTGGGTAAGAACCTCACTTCTTCAGATGCAAGTAATGGAAATCTCCAGAGGCAGGTATAAATCAGGACTGGCCTGCCTCCCAAGGCTGTGAAAGTGAGGGA